ATGATTTTTTCAAAACGAATTTCATTGTTCACGACAATACAAAAAAATTCCGTCATAACTATTATCAAAATAAAAAATTAATGACAATCTTTCAATCCTTTGAATCCGATATTAATATTGGCTTTTTTTCCCTGTGAAACATGGCTAGTTTGTCTTCAAATAAACAATAACCACCACCATCAAGACCAAACAGACAAAAGCGTATTTGGTCATGGACTTCAAAAGAACCAGTAAAACTTTGATCGGTCTTAAGTGAAGCCGGTAAAGAATGTGGTGCTGTTTTGCTGATGGTAGCTCTACTGGAAATCCAATAAACCTAATTAATATATTAATATCAATATTATCCGAACGGAAACCCCCTTTCTTAACGCTAATACTAAAATCGTGAAACGTATTTCTAACGTTTTTAACCCAAAAATAATTTTTATATTAAATAATATGGTATGTTAATATTATATTCGTTCATTATGTATTTTTATTCACAAGGCCTTCTTTTATGTGTCTCGCGCATCCTTTGTGATAAGGTTTGATCTGTAATACTATTACCGCCAATATTGTTGTTTCTTTTTACTTTTAAACCATTGACCGGTTTTAGTGGCTGTATCCGTTGATTATCCGGGCATTTGAGCACCTGGTCAATCATATTACTATTAATATTAATATTACTAATACTTAATTACTTACTATACGGTATAATTTTCCGTATAATGATGTGCTCATATTAATATTATATAAATACTATTTATTAAGTTTGAATTTCACGCGGGTGAATTTAGATTCACAAATTATTTTTAATAGACAAAAAGTTTTTGTTGTTAATAATAATAATAATAAATAATCCCAAGCTTAATTAATTCTAACTGTTTTGATAATCCCAGTTATTTAATTGTAGACAACCTACTTTTAGATAAGAATTCAATTTATTTTGAAGCGCCGCCTTTATATAATGACCAATTATATGACCACGTTCATTTCAGTTAAATCTGACATCAAAATAAATTTGTTTTATCCATCAAACCTTAACATATATAAAAAATTCAAAACGTAGTAGTTTTTAGAGAATGGGAAAAAAATATATTTCAACATCTTCAGATCATCAAAAATAATAAAAATTCTTATATTTTAATTAATAAGGTTATAAGAAATCTAATAAACATGAAATCATGTATATATAATCTTCGGAACCTAAACTACATTCTAATATACAATTTATTATGTACATTTTTGTTTAATTAACGCACTTTTGGCAGTCAATACTTTTACCTAAGCAGTATATAATTCATCATAATATATCAACCCATTCGCCCACAATGGCAACAGATTTACTATCGCCATTCATGATCCTTTCATCTCTTAATGTTCTACCAATACATATCCAAGGATCTTTTGAACCGCCCCATTTCAATAATTCTTCTTTGAATCTCTCACCAGCTTCTCTACTTAATGGATCCTTTTCAAACAAATCTTTCCAAATCTTGCCAGCTAAAGTTCTACAAAAAAGATAACTATAATATCCTGCACCATATCCAAATAAATGAAAAAATTGTGTTTGCCAAGCAGTTCCAGGAACTGAAGGGAATAATCCAACTGTATCTTGTAAATTTGCTAAAATTGATGTAGTGTCAAAATTCGGCGATGATTCTCTAGAAACAATAGATGAATGATATAATTGATCCAGTAAAGACATTACAATTTGTGATTGAGTTTCTATTGCAGTAAATTGTAATCGTTCTTTAGAATAATGTTGTATTAACTCTAGAGGTAATGGTTCTTTGGTTTCATAATGTTTTGCAAACAATGATAAAACACTTGGGGAATAAACAAAATGTTCCATCAAAATTGATGGTAATTCTACAAAGTCTGTTGGACATCGAGTTCCTAAAAAAAAAAATTTTTTTTTTAGTAAAGTCATTAACAAAAAAATCAAAACATAAACAAATCTTACCAGAAACATTATGAAAATCAGTACGACCAATCATTGCTAAAATAATTCAAAAAAAAATCAATATGAAGTTTCAAAAAAACTTTCATGTATGTACGTATGTATGTATGTATTTATGTATGTATATCTATATATATAGTTAATTTGAAACCTACAATGCATTGCATGACCCATCTCATGGAAAAGTGTTTCAACTTCAATCAAATTTAATAAAGTAGGGACATTTTGATCTTTTGATTTTGCAAAATCACATGTTAGTACCACTATTGGTAGTTGGTATCTACCAGGTCTACCATTTACAATAGCCCCTGGATCAGAAGTTGCTAAATCATCTAGTTCGGCCGGATCATATCCTGATGGAAGATCGCCCAATGCATCATCATCATCAACTCTTCGGGAGCACCTTACAGTGTAATGCGCTGCAGTTTGTAATTTACCAAAACGATTAAACAAATCGCAATAAATAGTTCCAACTTTACCCTCCTTTTCATCAATGACATCAAATTTATATATATCTTCACACCAAGCTTCACCGGGTAAAATTTCAGATGCTTCAAAAGAAATACCATACAATCTTGAAAATAGGCATGATAAACCTTCAATTACAGACTCAACTGAAAAATATGAAGAAATTGGGGGTAATTGTTGTGTTTGAGACGAAGATTTGATTTTTTCTGTGTAAAAATCACGATCCCATGCATAAACAATTGGAAGTTCTTTATCTTTAGTAAATTGTTGTTTTGCTTCTCTAAGAGTTTGTAATTCAGATAATGCCTTTTGTTTATGATGGTCAGCAAACGAACGTAAAAATGTTTGCACATATTCTATTATATCGGTTAATTGATCAATTAATTAAATTAAAACAATTAACAATGTAATTTAAACAAAATTTTTTTAAAAAGTACCTGGTTTTTTCAACATTTTATCAGAAATAAAAACATCACCGTAGCTCTTCATGCCAATTAATTTGGCTAATTCAGCTCTTGTTTTTAATAAATCTTCTAATAGTTGAATTTGTTCTTTACTTGCAGAATTGATAGTAGTGTACATTTGTTTTCTAATCTCTTCATCTTTAATATATTTCAATACGATTTGTGCGGACCATTGACTAATATATAGGAACATATCATTGTTTTTTCTTCTGACTAAATCTTTGTGGTAACTGAGTGGCAATCCATCTAATTTAGATTCATCTATTTTAATTCCTCGAAAAAATACTCGTAGAGGAGGGTGAATGAATTGTTGCCCAAGCGTAATAATCTTATTAGATAGTTGAACATATTGTTCACGATCAGATGATGGTAGGTTTACTCCAGATTTTTCAAAATCACGTAAAAATATTTTTGCAACTTGAAGCTCTTCTGGTGAAAATTTTGCTGTAATATCAGGAGTAGAAAGTACTTGATTTAATACCTGGATATGCAACATTAGATATGAAATTGTGTTTGGGATAATGCTTAAATTGTAAGGGATTTTATAATAAAGGAAAAGAAAAGAAATACATAATTGCAGACTCACACAATTCGTAATATATTCAAATATTGAAATGACACGTTGTTGATTATGTTAATCAATAAATTTTTTTAAAATAAATTTTATTATTTACCTTATATAAATCAGTATTTGTATTTAAAGAATTCATGTAAAAACATAATTCTTCATATACATCATTAGCAGCATTAACAAAATTTTGATCAGGATGAGAATTTCTTACAAATTCAGCAGTATCTATTACTGAACAAAGTAAATCTGACAATCTATCTAAATTTTTTACAACTTTTCTTAATTCGACGACATCTGTAGTTGCATTTGAGATACGTTGAACTAAGAATCCTACTCTTTTTAAAACTTTGTTTGCTTCAGTTTTAAAGCCTTGTGGAGTTGATAATGCAGGATTTCTAAATAAACCAGTAGGTGTTTTTACTGAAGGAGCATTGTTATGGTGTAGTCTGACGCGTTGAAATTGATTGAAGATTTTTGGTATATGAGCACGATACAATTTTGAGAAAATCATATTAATTTTGTCAAGTAAAAAAAAAGATTATCATGAGTTATCGAAAAAAATTTCACAGGCGCAGCATATTATACTTCATGTGATCCTGGTTTAGTTCTTCGCGAAATTAGACTTTCCGTAAATCGGACGTGGCGTTACACGGACCTGGCTAGAATAAATTATCATTTTTTTTCGATTATGTCAAATAATGTAAAGGATGCATTGTCCTATTTTGACAAGTCAAAGTATCTATTGCCGAAAAATCCATCAATTTTTAGACATTAAGATTTTAAAGCTATTGATGGACCTAGGTCACCCAACTCTAATTCAAGGCTTTGACACTTTCCTACCTTTTGGTTATCACTTGGGTATTCTAAAAATCCGACCTCATCACAATTACATCGCCTACTGTACAAAAAGGTCTTTTGGAGTCTCATCCATCACTTACAACAATATCTTTCTTCAACCGTTGCCGATTCATCAACCACTGCTTATTATAACATCATCATCAAATCCATCATCTTTAAATACTGTTAGTTCTCAAACTTACACTAAAAAATAAATAATTTATGAGGAGAAAGTAAAAAAAGGAGTATTGCTTGAAAGTATTTCTTTAAATGAAACCCACCAGAAGTTCAAGATGCTCAAAATCTTAATGATGAATCTAACTCATTATTTTTAATGCAATGCTTAGAATACAAAAACACAATAACTCAAACATTAGTAAACATTTGGATGAAATTGATAGGTATTTAGATAAGACAATAAATATTAATGTAATCAAATGGTGGAATGTGTATTTAAAAACAGAAAATAGTAAGAGTATTCTTTAATGGTAACGCAAAATAATTTTTTGATCACGATCTTGCATCCTAATTTGATGATTAGCAAAATAAAAATGGTCAATCCTTCTTTTCTTTGATACTTTTATTATAACTACTCTAAATTTTCTACACAGTGGTTACATTCATAGCACTTAATGTTGGTGGTGTATTCTTTAACACTACAAAAAAAACGCTTTTGAAACATGGTGATGGATATTTTTCGAGTCTTTTTAATAATGCAATGGAAAGAGTATATAATGAACGAAACAATATTTTCATTGATAGAAATGGTAAATTGTTTGAATATCTAAGAAATGATAAACTGCTGAAAAGAATACATGACGACAAGGAATTACTGGAAGATTTATTAACGGAAGCAGAATTCTTTGGAATCAATAAACTTGTCAACGATATCAAATCTCTAATCGATCCAGGAATTGAAAAGATACGTCTTTGGCAACTCGAATAGTATTTGAGGAAAGATTATCATGTGGTTACAACTGGTATTGAATCTCTTACTTATTATCGATGCCCTCATGGTCATGATCCTGAACGAATTGGTGAAGGTCGTTATTCTAGTTCTAATTGTAGACATACATCTGTTGAATTAGTAGAAGATAATGTTTATTTTATTTTAAGTAACAACTAATAGTAATATTCCCATGAGAAAAGGAATAGATATTGATATTGATAAGAGAAAAGTGTTATCTCGACTTAAATGAATATTTTTTTCTTCTTTTTTTTATAATGATAATTTAAATAAAAACGAAATTTTGATTGGATGATCAACAAATCGCGTTTGTTTATTTTGTCCCAATTTTTTTTTTCTTCATTATTATAGAATGCCTTATATAAAAAACTCTACGAATGATCAAACAGTTGTAACGAAAAATGTGCCTGTAAAAAATGGTCGTATTGAAAAGGTAAGAAGGCTATATACTGAAAATATCATTATTACCTATTTGCGAAAATGATGATATTAATCAACAATAATAACTTTATCAATACAAAATCCCATTAATAAGAATAAACAACTTTCAGAAAAGAATACTCACAAGGCACAGAATAATAAAAAATTTACAAATGATTTTAATAGAACTCATAGACAAACCAATAAAATCAAAACCTTGGAAGCTCTAATATCTGAAAACATAAAGGTTAAATCTGATCTTGATAAAAAATATAAAGAATTAGAAATGTTGAATAATAGTATTAAAAATGAACGTGATGAATTAACCAGTCTTAATATCACCAAAGAAACGATTGTCAATGAATTAAAGATGAAGAAAACAAAGATTGCAGAACAAGAAAAATTAGTCGAAAGGTTGAATGCAGAATTTTTGGAAATTGATAATATTCGTCGTTATTTACATAATGATATTCAAGATTTGAAAGGAAATATTCGAGTATTTTGTAGAGTCCGTCCACAAACATTCACAGAAATAGATGAACCACTTGCTGAAATCATATATCCAAATAATAGTGGAAATAAAAAAATTGTGATTTGTTCAATTATAAAAAATTATCGTAGTATAAATAGAAATATCATCAAGGAATATGAATTTGATCATGTTTTCAGACCTGAAAGTACTCAAGAACAAGTATATAATGAGCTTGCACATGTAGTTCAATCAGTGGTTGATGGATATAATTGTTGTATATTTGCTTATGGACAAACTGGTGCAGGAAAAACTTATACAATGCAAGGTTCAGATGCTTCTCCTAAAACAGAAGGGATGATCACCAGGGCATTTAGACATGTCTTTAATCTTGTTAATGGTTTGAAAGTTCAGGGTTGGACTTATACAATCGAAGGCCAATTTATCGAAATATATAATGATCAAGTTTATGATTTACTTCAAATGTCACGTGGAAATGTCAAAATTACACATGACACTGAGAAAGGTTCAACTAGAATTACTAATGTCAAAACAGGTGAATTATATATGTATAGATATTATAATTTTTTTTTTCTGTTGAAAATTATGATCACGATTATGAAATTATTTTTAAAAAAATAAAAATCACATTTTCTTTTATATATAGTAAATCTTGAGTCACCAAATCTTGTCAATCAAGTGCTTAAATCAGCGACAAAGAATCGATCAATTGCTTCTACAAAAATGAATGATAAATCTTCAAGAAGTCATAGCATATTTATGATTCATATTACAGGCACAAATTCAAATACAAAAGAAAAAAGATTGGGTTCATTGAACCTTATTGATTTAGCAGGCTCTGAGAAAATATCAACATTTGGATCTTCAGCGGGGGATCTTCAAACTGAAACAATACAAATTAATAAAAGTTTAAGTAGTTTGAAAACCGTTATAAAAAATATCAAGGATGGAAATCATATCAATTATCGTGATTCAGCTTTAACATATGTTTTGAAAAATTCATTAGGCAAATAATATATAGTCTTATTATTATATATAGTTTTTTATTTACTTTATTTATTAATTAATTATTAATTATAGGTGGAAATGCCAAGGTATTGATGTTAGTTAATATTTCTCCAATAAGATCATCACAAGCAGAAACTGAAAACAGTTTGGAGTTTGGTCGTGTTGCTAAAGCTACTCACACTGGCATTGCAAAGAAGGTTAAGGCTTAGAGTATCACATAAGATTCATTATTATTATTTCTAAAAAAAAAAAAAAAAATGTTAAAAAATTTTTTTAGGAAATATTTATTCTATTAATATTAATTGTTAATAAAATTGCCCTGAATTTTATATTGAATTTTTTAGTATAATTGAAGATATATGAATTTTTGATGAGTGCAATCAAACAATTGTTGTCAAGAAACATCGACTATTCTTAAGAAAAGCATTTTTATGATTCCTAATCGAATTAATTATATGCCAAAGAGATTTATTTCCACACTCAAATTTACGAATTATTCCTAAAAATACTTGGTCGATTTCCTTTAACGACAGAATAAACTCGATTCTTTTAGTATTCTCTTTGATAAATAAATTAGTCGTACGAATTATTAGTATTTTATTTTCATTTTCAATAGTGTCATGACTGATTTTAATTTTGATTATCGTTGACTATGAATTACAATTACTTTTAGCGAAGCCTTTAGTAAAACCAAAGATGCACAGGCTTAATGAAACACGAAACTATAAAAGTGAATTTATCATTATATATGTCGGGATATAGAGACACTCATGAAATGAGTGCCTCTATAGCTAAAAAATAATTTGTTCATGATACTTATGCTTCCACTGCCTTGACAATTCACTACGTTCATGGTTGGTGAATAGATAGATAACATATCTAATCCTAAGGAAGCACTGAGTTTTTAACTCCCGAATCAGTTCTGCAAAATTTGTAGACGTCAACGTCCATGTTTTATCTGAGATTAATTGGAATTTAAATTTTGTGGCAAAACGTGATTTATTTTTCTGTGAGAAGCGGAGCTTCATTACTATGTTATAATAGGTCACTTTGATTTTTTTTTTACATACAAAGTTTACAAAATGTAAAAACATGAAAAAAATAATGTCTCGCTCGCTTGAGCTGTAAAACAATTTAATTTTATCATTTACGAGTTGCGCTTACTTGTTAAAAGCGAAATTTACAAAATGTAAAAACACAATATCACGTCAGTTTATTGTTTATTAAATAAATAGTCTAATCAGTCATAATAATAATGGAAAAATGATTAATGTTAATTTTACTGTAGATAAATATTCGACAATATTAACCATGTAAATAAAATTGTATAAAGGTTTTGAAACAAGGGTTTTATTATTATTATTGCTTAATCGCAGAACTCTTATATGGTGTTGCTGTGCCACTTGCGTGCATCTTTTAAGTAAATATTCGTTCGGCAAGATGCCCAGCTTCAGAGCCTTATTTTTTTTTTGCTGGATAATTCAAAAACTTCTATTATAGAATCTCGCAAAAATAGCCCGTAATTAGAAAAAGGTAAAGATTAGCAAGATTTTTGGATGTCTGATCTGCACTGTTAGCTCAGTCACGATATTTGATCGCTGTAAAAAATTTAACTAGAAATTGTTGTTGAAGCTGTTAAAGTTATGAAGAAGCGTCAGGACTAATTACTTGTCAAATCGAGCATTGTTAATTCAAACAACAAACACTTGGTGAGATCAGATTTTTAAGAATTTATGAATAACTCCAAAGGCTATTTTGAATAAGCAAAGAAATTAGAATGAATATGATAATGAAAATTCCTCCATTTGACAGAGGATTGCAGTTATTATTATGACGAGGGAGGATATTTATTTAAAAAATACTCATCAAATGAGTTCTACAGTGTAAATGCTATAAAAAATGTACAATAAGAAAAATAATACAAAATCAAATAATTATTTCAAATAAATAAATATAGTTTAATTATTAAAATATGATAGTACTAGTTCTATTTATTTGTGGCCTTTCGTTTTCTTTATTATTATTAATATTACCGGAGAAACTTTTACTTCTTTCAACCATACCTTTGCCTATACTACGATCCAATTTCACGCCATATTCACCTTTCTGAATAATTCTTCCCAACTTTCTTAATGCCAAAGGATGTTCTAATTTAGAAGCTTGCCTTAAATAATCTAATGCTACTTTATATCTAACATTATCATGTTCTTTCGATGCCAAACCATTATTTAATATCACAGTTGCATACCAATATTGTGCATCTACATGATCAAGTTTTGCAGCTTCGGATAAATACTTCATAGCTTCTTTGGAGTTTGCTTTCCCATTTGCACCTTCGTAATATCCCTTATAATAGTAAAATCCTACCCAAAATTTTGATTCAGGTGTAGAATTCTTTTTTTCTAAATCACTGAAAATCTTCCATGCTTTTTTGTAAGATTTTTCCTCGTGAAGTTGAATCGCCTTTTGAATATCGTGATTCTTTTTGTTGAACGGATTTAATTGTTCCAATTTTATTAACATCTGTTTATGTTGTTGATCATCGGTATCCGGTAAATCAACAGGCGTATAATATTCATTGTCTAACTCCAATATTGATGATGCATCGTTTATAGATCTCGCATCCGAATTATCCATCAGTGATAATAAGCCAACTTTATCATCACCAATCGTATCAACTTTTTTTCCTGCTATATAATCAAAACTCAATTTATCAAGTATAACAACCATTTCTTCGATGGTTGATCTATCATTTGGTCTATCGCACCATCCACGTTCTATCACTTGTTGATAATTCTTTGGTGTCCCTGGAACTGATTTTGGTGTCGGCTTTTCACCATTGATTATTTTTGTTTTTAATTCTTCATTTGAGATATTTTTATATGGCAATTTGTTTGTTGCAATTTCCCATAAAATAATCGCAAAACTATTTTATATAATAACGATCATAGTAAAATTTTATTAATTGCAAAAATTTTTTTTTTAAAAAAAATAAAAACCAATTCAAAAAATTATTTTTAGTTACCTATAAATTTCGCTGGCTTTTGTATATTCTTCACCGTTAAGTCTTTCGGGTGCAGACCATCTTTCATCATCAATCGGATCACTAGCTGACTTTAATAATAATGGAGATTCTTTTTCTGTACAAAAGTTATAAAGTTTCGGTTGAAGATTCAAAGTCAAAAATATATTATCACTGAAGAAGAAGAAGGAATAAGAAAAAAAATTTGAGTCATCAATTAATTTATCATTAATTAATAATGAATAATAAATAAAAATAAAAATACCTTCGTAAATCATAGTGCAAAATATCTTGATCATGACAAAATTTGATTGCATCTGCTATTCCATAAGAAATGGATACTTTTTCCGACCAATTAAGACGTTCAGGCTCTTCAGTGAGTATAGTACGAAGGTTATAATCTCCCCATTGTGATATAAGAAAGAATCCTGCTGGACTTTGAGAATACCCATGACTATATAATTTATTACTTATTAATATATAATAATATGATATATATAATATAAATTAAAGAATATAAAAAATATAAAGAAAACTTACACGTCTAAAATGTGATAACATTTTGAAAGTTTTTTCAAAAATACAATTTCTTCTTTTAATTTAATAAATTCTGGTCCATTATGTGATGGTTTACTAGAAGAAATTAATTTTTCTGCAATGTTTCTTATCCCTAGATACATTTTTTGTTTTACATGATCTTTACTACCCCGAGTGATTGGTGGGTGGACATCTGTTAATTCATCATATTCAATCTCGTCACTATCAAATGATTTTAAAGAAGTTGGTGATTTATGAATTGTGATTATTTTTGAGAACATTCTAATTTTTCTTTTAATTTTTTTATCCCATGTTTTAGTATTACTGTCGCTATCATCAATGTTGATATCTACTGCCTGTGTTTCTTCTGCTTTTTCTTCTACTTCTTTCTCATCTTTCGCTCGAAGTAATTTGGACAATTCATCATTTAATGTTGTAATTTCTTCTTTAATTCCTGGTTTTTTCTTATTGTCCTCTAGAATTTTTGCTATGTTACACAGACAATTATTAAAAATTTCGTCACTAAAATTTTTGTTTTTTCCAATCCCTTTTATCAAATCTTTACTTGATTCCAAAATCTTGATTTCAGTGGTTAATGTTTCTTCATAAATTTTTAATAATTTCTCGATTGTGCTTTTTGTTTCTTGGATCTTGTTGCTAATATTATTATCATTATTAGTGCCAATATTATTAATACTATTATTATTATCGTCAATACTATTGTTGTTGTTGTTGTTGTTGTTGCTGTTGTTGATATTAATTGTATTTATCAAATCATCTTTGTTGTTCGTTAAGGTAATTGGCGAAGCAAATAAATAAGATTGATCATTTAAATTTTTTGTTTCAAGGACCAAGGTTTTTGCCATTTTTAATATATTATTAATTAAGAATAAAATGTTGTTTTTAATTTATTTAATTATTAATTTTGGGGTTTTTTAAGAAAAAAAAATATTTATCTCAATGTATGTTAGTGTAGTATTTATATCAATATCAATATTAACATTAACATCCTAGAAATAATTAGTTAATTAATATTTAATATTAATTAATATTTTCTTTATTCTTTTACACTGCATTTTTATAAAAGTTAATTATGAACATATTTGGCAATGATTCTTTTCATTTGTTTGACTATAAGGCTAATATTTAGCTTTGTTCCATCATCCGAAAACATAGAAGACAATAAAAATACAAAGGCAGAACGATGATCTAGAATCAAACGGAAACCTGTGTGCATCATTGAAAATTTTCAATTTTGGATGACAGCATTGTTAATTATTAGTGCAACTTTAAAATTAACAAATCATACATATTATTTTGATCAATGCATTCCTATCAAAAATCATGTTTTATATTTTTGTACAAAAAGGTATTCATTTTGTGCGTATCTCCCAATAATAATTTTAAATATTATTACTGAATAACCCACATGCTACGTTCAATAAATAAAAATCTAATGGTTCGTTTATAAGCTAGGTTCGTACCGACTATACTGAAGGAAAATATTCATGGTTATGAATGAGAGAACGTATTATATCTATGATTTTTTAAAGTTAAAACTTGATATAAATACAGCCGGTGACTTTATTATTATTATTATTATTATTATTATTATTATTATTATTATTATTATTATTTATTTATTTATTTATTTATAGTGAGTGAACATAAATAGCTATAACGACTCTCTTTACAGTGGGAAAAGTGAAAACTATAAATATAAATATGTTATAAATGATTTCTCTTCCAAAAAAAAATACAATGAAGAACAAATATAGTTAGAAAATATGGATATTAATATAAATTTTCGATTACGCTAAACAATTATGGTCCGATTTTTTTACCAATTATAATCCTATATTAAAGATATATAATGCAAAAACTCAAAGTTTGGTCGAAAGGTTCCTAATCCAGGGTTGGCTGTGATTCAGTGATTGTCCAATGGACCAGGATTACGTGGTGATCACTTCTAACTACAGTTTATTAGCGTAATATGTCAATATTAACCATATTTAGCATCAATGGACTTAACGGACCGACCTAACCATATATTCCTAGAGTGTACATACACGAATTTTACAATGGCTAATTTTAATATCAGATAAATCAAAGAAACATAAACATAAATAAAATTGCACAAATTTTATATCTTTGTTTCGAACTTTAATTTAATACAAAAACCATAAAAAATTTATTTTATTCTTTCTAGAGTTATTACAACTTTAAAGTCATCTCTATTTTCAGATTACTAATTAAAACATAGTAAAACTATATGGAAACACTAATTAAGAGTAACTGGGTGTGTATAAATGCTAATTAAATTATAAAGAGTTTATCAAAGTATGCCAATAATTATTATAGAATTTATTATTATATGACATATTTTATAATTTAATAGAAACTAAGCAAATAGTTAATGGACCACCTTGATAATCAGTTGAATCAAAGTTTTGATAATTGAATAAACAGTCAAATTAAAATCTTGTCAATCAATAGTCGCAAACACCCAATTATTTGCTGATTATTATAATCCACTGATTATCTGTATATGCACAAAAAATGATTTTAGACCATTTTTTATTTTTATTATTCAAAAAAGTATTATATTTCCATTAAAATAGAGGTTAGCACACGGTTAACCGTTTAACCTATCAATCTTGGTGTTACCAACTTTATTGTCGTTGATCTAATTAGAATACATATAGAAATAAATCCATATACCAAACAACAATCTTTACGTTTTTCCTTTTAGATGAGACTTATGAATACAACTCAATTGTTATATTATTCAGTTTATTCAAATTATTCATTTTATCATTATTTATTGTTCATTTTATTCGTTATTCATTTCATTCAAGTTATTCGTTTCATTCGTTATTCATTTCATTCGTTATTCATTTCATTCAAGTTATTCGTTTCATCCAAGTTATGCGTTTTATTCAAAGTGAAATGTTTGAACACTCAAAATTATAGCGAATAAACAAATAATTCTTATTCGAATAAAAATTTTGCTATCAGCTATGACTATTTTCTAGTAGAAAAGATTGAAATTGCTATTATTATTATCACTACAAAGGACAATCCAATTGCTACAACTATTATTATTAATTGACTAAAGAAAAGAAGATAAGAAATATTGATTACTTTTGCTACTACTGTTATTATTATCACCACAAGGACCACAAAGAAAAAATAGAATTGATAAAGAAAAATTCTAATATGCGAGGATCAGGTTGTAAAATAATAAAAATATGACTAGAAAAAGGATTATAGGTTATAATAACTCATTTTATTTTATATTTACGTATTTTTAATACTATATAATCTAATCAAAAAAGTAAAACGTTGAAATTTATGAAGAAATGTTGAAAAAATTTCCTTTTCTTTTTTTTCATAATGAAGTTTCACCTATAAAAGCAATCACTCAACACACAAGCAACACCAGGAATTTTTTTAACGTAGACTTTATAACTGTAATGTTTATTTCTATATACAATAAGACTTATCATTAACAGTACGCGTATCAATAATTCGTTTAACCATATATCACACAATGTTATTATTATATACAATAAGTAGTACGCGTAGCAATGATTCGTTTAACCATAGATCTCATAATGTTATTATTATATACAATAAGAATTATCATTCATAGCAGTAGTATCCTTACCTATTACCATCAGTTAATTGATGTTGATTTTTTTTGATGGTCGCATAACAATGATTCTAGATCTACTTTTTGAAGAAGACAAATAAAATTGACACAATGTTATTATTATGTACAATAAAAATTATCATTAATATACAATAGGAGTATAGTAACAATACCTCGTACAACAATAATTCAACCATAGATTCATTTTAAATACAATGTTAGAAATCTGTATTATGTATTATTTTAGGTGAATGTATAAAATGAAATAAACCAACAATTCTAATTATATTACACTGATGACTTTACAGGTAAGTAGTTGAAAATGAAAATTATTACAGAGTAATGACACTTTATATACCTAAATTATTACATCATATATAACTCAAAAAACTTCTATATTATCTTAGAATGAGGTAATCGCGAATTTACATAACCTCAGTCAATAAAAAGTTTCACATTTTTATCGATCAGATATATCTTACATTTTTTCCCGGTAAAAATAAGCTAATTGATTGCTATACATATTGACATTGCCAGCTCCATTTAAGATACCCGAACTGATTTTATTCATCTCTGGAATCTAAAAAAGATGAGCTATTTCTTTATAATGAAGTCATCAATATAATTAAAAAAGAAAGGGTCTTTGGTTCTGCACTCCTAGAGATAAGTCAAGAAGATCTTAAAAGATGGGGAATGTCAGGTGGGCCAGCAAAAATCATAGTAAAATTGATTAGAGGGATTAAGAACAAAAAACAAGGAAAGTACCATTATTGTATTTGAATATTCTATATAAACATGTACTGCTTTGCAATAATTTCATATTTTATTTGCTTCATACATTCATTCTTTTTATATGGATCAGAAGTTTCAAGATATACTAATTTATGCAATCCTTACTCACAAAAGTTGTTATATTCTTGTGCTGAAGAAATATTGAAATGATAATACACGGTGAGTCTCGGTATAACGGATATGTTTGTTCCAGGAAATTTATCCGCTATACCGAGTCCTCCGTAATACCGAGATATCCGTAAAAAATCGATTTTTGATTAAATAATGTGATACATGTTACGTAAAAAATCAAAAAAAAAAAAACAATTCATTCACTTAAAATGTTGACATTATAATAATCTTCCATTCTTGTTCGCACTTGTTCTTGAGAATTTTTGTAAGAAATTTCACTTTTTAATCTTTTGACATTTCTAATTACTTGAAAATCAATATCTAAAAATTTTTGCTATACATATTTAAGTATAGTTTCCGGAGCTTTTATAGCTTCCATATTAATGATCATCAGCTCAGGTTCATTTGTTTCATTTGTTTCATCGTCATCAACTTCACTTTGTCCTTTTACAATATTTACGATTTTAGCATATAAAGAAATAAAAGGAAATGACATATCGATGATTTCATTGCCGAGAAATAGCTAGAAATATGTTAGATTAAATTGTGGATGTATTGCTAATTATTTTACATTCTTAATATTAATATAATTGCGCGTCATTACTATTAGCCCAAATAGTAAAGATCATCGTTATCGTAATATATATCGAGAAAAATTTATTATAAGTGACATATATGAATTTTTAAGAAATATCCGGTGAACCGAATTTATTATTATTATTATTATAAGTGACAAATGGATTTTTAAAAAATATCCGCTAAATCGAATATATATGAAAATCCATTAAATCCATTAAATCGAGATAAAATAATTATAGAAAAATTTGGTTTTGAAAATTTATCTGTTAAACCCTAAATCCGCTAAATCGAGGTCCGTTAAATCGAGACCCACTGTGTACTCATTTTAAAAAGACTAAAGTAAAATTTTCTTTTTTTGCATTATTACAATTATGGAGCTTGTGAGAAAAGTCACAAGGTGAATCTACAAAGTCATATGATTTCATCACGTGTACAAGAACATTATTGCATAAAAGCTAGCATTAGTGACAGTGACATTACCATAGAGGAATTAAGCCTCAAAATCACACAAGTTTGTTATAATAAAAGGATATTTTCACTTGATTTTTTCAAAATTTCAATAAGCTCAATCACCTGGTTTTTGTTAACCAACATTATTCAGTATATTATATATAGTTCATGTGATAACTTGTTTATTAATTATGTAAGTTACCTTTAAAAATTTGCTTTCATAAAAAATTGCATGTATCGCTTAATTCCTCAATGGTAATGTCATGACATATCAAAACAAAACAAAACCATAGAATTGTAGAGAAAGGTCTTGGCTTTAATTCTTTCTCATGCATTTCTATTTTTGGATGAGTTAAAGGATATACACAGCTGATAAAAAAGATCTTATCCTTTATATCTAACATTATATCATGAAATTAAAA